CTTCTATTTTTTGTATCCCAGCATCGTCAATAAAATGCACTCACCATATTTTTTCACATATCAATTTAGTAAAATATTAAATAAATCATTATAAGTAATATTTTCAATTTACTTTTTTCCCTAAATAATTATGAAATAAAAAATACATATTTCGATGTAAAAATAAATAAATTTCATAATTTTTTTTTTACGTTTTTCAGTTAACAAAAAATGAATTTAGTCCAAGTAAAGTTTTATTATGGAATATTCAGTTATGTGTAGAGGCTCCATGAATTAAAAAATTGTGTTTTGTGTTTTTTCAGGCTCAAGAAAATTCCAATAGTTAAAACATAATTTTTTTTTCATTTTATATATTACATGTTGGTGTCATATGAAAGATAATAAAAATTCATAAATTTTGATATATCTTTTGAAAAATTTGGAGAACAAATAAAAAAGTTATAAGAGTTTTAAAAAATTTGGGATTAAAATGATGCATGGATGACATCATCCTCACATCCATATAATGCATTCTCGTCATCCCCTTCCCTATTTCTTTTCTTTTTCTTTTTTCAACTCCTACCAACCCACCCTCTATTTCTAACACCCTTCACCCCCTCTTCCATTTTAAATACCCTATTTAGCCTACTACTACTACATGAAATTAGGAGTCCAAACGTTCCATCTCCAAATGGCCTAAACGCCACTCACCGGTCGATAGTACTCCCTAGAGTCGTGAGCGGTTTGCTTACCCTCATTTTCGGTTTATGGGATATTTGAAACTCATTTTACTTCTACTTCTTCTTTAAAAGCAAAAAAGAATTAGAATCAATTTTACGGGAAACCGATCTTCTCCCATTTCTAAAAAACTTTTCTAAGAGCAATTTGGAGCATTTAAAAGTATTTCTGCAGTTTCACCCAAACAGTCTAATATCTGCTTCAGCTTCATGAAGGAACATAAACATTCTTAAGAAATATGTACAACCCCCGTGAAGATTATCAGTCAACTTTTCATTAAATACATGACTTTTGATTTTGCGGTTTGAATTGTTTAATAATAAGAAAAAATAAGACCAGAGTTAATTTTCTTACTGTATTGACTAAAGTTATTGTTGACGATCATTTTATCTATTTTTCATTAAAAAAATATTTATAGTATTAATAAAAATATTTTAGATATTATTTTTTCATTAATCAACAGAATCAGTTAATTCAACCACTTTAGTCAGAAATTCATAAATTTCACTCTTAGCAATAGCCCAACTTGCTGTGATCATCCTAATGAAGAAATTAAATGGCTATTTTTTCTTAATCGAGTTGTCTTGACTTCAGCTCCTATAACAGTATGATCTTGAACCATATGAACTAACTTCAGAGGTTAATTCGTATTTGATCATCGCCAAGCTACCTCCGTTATTAGTTTATTATTTTCATTTATCAATAGTTGAGTTACTCTATGAAAATGTGGAGATAAAACAAAATCTCTCTTATTTCCCTTGATGGAATTGAATTATGAACCTCCCTTCTCACCAAGTGAATCTATTTTCTAGTTTTTCTATATAACTTTCCGGAGTCTTTTATTCTTGTATTGTGGTAGAGTGTTATCTCTCTACAAATTTTAAGGACAAAATTCATCATCACATAAACAATACTCCTTCGTTCCACTTAAAAGTTTTCACACGATTTACAATGTTTGATTGATCGTTATTTAATGGATCTCTGTCATTAATAAGATTATTTTTAATAAATAAAATTTACATATTTAGAAACTACATTTAAAAAATTATAAAATCGCAAGAAAAAAATCAAATTTGATAAAAGCTGGATATATAAATTAAAAGATTAAGAACTATTCACGTTGATCGAAGAATCATGAATGAGAACCTTTCAATGGGACAAATGTAGTATCATTTTAAAAAATTATTCCTAAATTACAAACTTTCTTTAAATTAAAATTTGTGTTTTACTCATATTTTAGATAACTCTTTTTTAAGAAACTTTCTTTAAAGAAACTTTCTGTTTTTAATAGTAATAATATTCCAAATAAAAACAAACACTAATTTAATGTACGTGCAAATCAAATTATCTAAATGCGGAAGAGTTTGAAATAGTTTAAAACAATAGTTGAACCCAACCATTAAAGTAAGTCAACATTACCTCTTATGGCATAAACACGTACAGGTTAGAGATCGAAATTCCAAAAAGTACATTAAACTTTACGAAATTATAAAATGGGTGATAGAACTAAAGGAGGACTACCAAATAAGTCATCGAACTTACATAAAAATGCAAATCACCCCTTATATAGGAGGCTCTGTCTGTCCATCGCCATTTGGGACGGTTTCCGGTGAAATTTTTCGATGAATTTTTTTGACCATCTTATTCATTAAGTCTAATTTATTCATACCAAATTTCAGCTAAAAGTTAACCCAGGAAAGCAGTCAAATGATTTTCTGAAATATACTGCGTTGTTTAACTGCGCAGTTATCTTCAAAAATTCATTTGATTGCCTTCTCGGTTGAATTTTTAGCTGAAATTTGGTATGAGTAAACTAGACTTAATGAATAAGTTGATCAAAAAAATTCATCAAAAAAATTCACCAGGAATCGTCCCAAATGGCGACGGCCGGACAGAGCCTCCTATATAAGGGGTGATTTACACTTTTGATGTAAGTTCGAATGCTTATTTGGTAGTTCTCTCTAAAACTGATAAGTATCAAATGGGTTTATAATGTTAATGTGGTCACTTAAAACTGCTATTCTATTTTTTCTTAATGTTGAAAGTTGTCAACATGATATCAGTATTACATTTTATCAATTGCATTTTACCAACTAATATACGAAGTAGTGAAGTATTTTTATTTCTTTTTTAACTTACTTTCCTTCATACACTAATGACATTTAATATCAGACATATTCTTACTAATCTCTACAATATTAAATTTCAAAACAGATGCATACAAAAGTCATATTCTTACTTTTTTTATTGATGAAAAAAATAGGTGACGTATTTTATAATTATTTTCGGACTTTATTTTATTTTTCCCTTTCCTTTTTTTGATTTTCTTTCATTCTTTTCTTTTATTCTTTAAGTTAATTCCCTAAATAGGACCAAAACAATTAACAAATGCACAAATAGGACTTCCATGTTTCATAGGACTAAAATATATTCATTTGACAAAATTGCCCTTAATGAATTTCTAAATGTATTTTCAATTAAAAAAAATTCTTTTGCCGCTTCCAACACACTCGACACAAGCCACCGCCGCTCAAGCCCCAACCAGCACTCCAGCCGCCGCCGCCACATGAATCCTTGCCGCCGCTGCCGCGATCCACTGCAGCCGCTTTGGGCACCGCCGAGCAATTGCCACTAGTAACCAGATGAAAGCTCAACAAAGGGTGATGGCGGCAGCGACCTCGCCGGAGAGCAGTGGATTTGCGCCGCCGGCTAAAGAAAGCACAGCAGGGGGTGAAAGCAGCGACAGACTTGCTGGAGACCTACTGTGGTGATTATTCTGGACTACAGCAGCGACGGACCAACTGGGCGGCAACAGACTCGCCGGACGACGGTGGCGGTGGACTCGTCGGACAAAGGCTGAATATTAGGTGCCAAGACAGAGTAATGCTGCTAGAGGCTTGGTCTGGTTTTAATTTATTTTTCTGTTTTTTAATTGTAAATGAATCTGGAATTTCATTAAGGGTATTTCAGTCAAGTCATTACATTTTTACTCCTATTAAAGTAAATTAAACATTCAACTCCTATTTGTGCACATATTTAATGTTTTACTCCTAGTAAGGGAATTATCCCTAATCCAATTCCTCATTATAAACTTCCATCTGTCAATACTCAATAGACCATAGATAGTACATCAACTTCTTGAGCGTTTTATTATCCTTCCTAATATGAACATAAAATTCTAACTTCTGATAATTTCAAGTCCTCTATATCTTTTATTACTCTTATGTCATTGTATATTTTTCATTTATGCTCTTACTTATTTCATGATCAATTATCATAGTTTTCACCATTTTTAGTTTTCATTGAATTTATATATTTGTTGATTAGTCATCTAATTTTTGACTTATTGATCGTGAAATCGCAAATTCAGGTTTATACTTCCTTCGTTCCGATTTGAGTTACAATTTGTGAATTTTAAGGTCGACTAATGATAAAATTAAATCATCCTGTGATAATTTTAAAATTTCTTCAGTAAAAAAAAATTGGATTTTCATTAAATTTATAAATATAATAAATTTCAAGGTGTGATACAAATGTTCTCTAACTGTGATTTTACTTGTTTAATACCGCGAATTATAAGTCTTTTCTTTATTATACAATTTTTGATGTATTATTGTTATGCATTAGATTAGACAAAAAAAAATATTTGTTGAGATATGAGGGATGAAAATTATTTACCCCTAGACCTTAAACTATTAGGGCCGCCCCTCGTGTAAATAAATCAGATTATATTTGATTTACAAAAATATTACTCCGTATAAAACATACTATGAGACAAACTTTAGTGAGATAGTCTGAAAAGAAAAATGGGGCAATAATATGATATATGAGAGGCATGAGTATTTGAGTATTTCACGTGCTAGCATTCCTAGCATGGTTTATAAGTTTATTTGCACGACAGAGTATGAAAACATAATAAAGGTTTCATTGCTTAAAAAACTCTTGACCATTTACAATTACATGAGTATATCTTTCTTGGTGTCTTGGTGATAGTTCAATATGATTAAAAGTGAACTTTGATTTAAGCAGAAAAATACAGAACTGGGCTTTAATGAGACTAGTACTAGTATAAAATTACTTCTCATTTGAGTAAAATTTTCATCTTTAACTAAGAATTTGTTCAACTTTGATTTGCAGTTAGATTTTCCTGCAATATAGTGCAGTAGCTTTCTTCTTTTAAAAGCAAATTGGTAACCATGAGTCATTTTAGCCTCAAAAATATGTCCAAAACTCCAAAAGCAAGCAAACATGCCAAGGGCGCTTTGTATTTCATACGTAGTGCCTTTGAGAGATTTAACGAATTTCAAAATAATTATGAAAAACTATGGTCCAAGGCAAATGGTTTGAATATGTAACAGGAAGGCTAATAATAGGTTTCTGAAGAGATCATTATTGCATCCCACAAAATAAAGGCATCTACAAACTAATTTATAAAAGATAAATTTAATACAATATGACAACGATCAATGAACTGAAACAAGTGGGATCCAAAAGACCGCAAAAATATCTGATTCAATAGCAGCTCACACAGCTGCCAAAACAACTGGTGGGGATCGGATTTGACCAAGTCTTCACAGGACTTGGAAGCAGCAAACTCTGATGGTTTGGACAGTCTTGAATTAGAGGAAGAAAAATCCCATTTTGAGAGGTGTATTGGGTTTGTCATCACAATGGAGGAGCCATGTAAGATACACTGGAAATGTGGTAGAATAAGAAGTGTAACTGAAATGACATGGCAATCCACTTTAGCATGGTAGTGGACATCTTGTATTATAGCAAACCAGGACATACATGGTTATATGAAATATTCATTCAAATTGACTCCCTATCTTGTTATGTACTGAATTTTGGCATGCTCTCTAAGCCACTCAAGCACTTTTACTCGTTCAAGTACCTCTCGCACCTGCACAGGGTCAAAACATAAAATTGATATATTTATATCTACATTATACATGCCTTAGGGTCTTTTTCCATCTGTGTAGCAGTATTTCCTAACCTGCTCCTTTATACGCTCCTCATCATATTCTTGCTTGTGTTGTTGGAACTCAGCGATTGAGTTTTGAACCTCCTTTGCCAACTCCTCAATTGAAACCTGCAGTGAACTCCAATGAATTAGTTAGTCGGTGAAGTATTGAGGTTAGATTTGTATGCTTCATGTTAGATTTATCTAGATACGTAGTATATTGGTAGCTAAATAGACTCATCTGTATTATTCTAGAACTGGCCTTTCATCTTATTTGACCTTTCATCTCCTTTCACTCATTAATGTACTTGTACACTCATTATTATAAATAATGGAGTTCAGGGTTGTGGACAGATACACAACCACAAAATTATTCTCTCCCTTGGAACTCTATTTTATTCAAGTTGGTATCAAAGCAGGTTCCTGCCATCTCTATCCGGCCCTTTCCGCTGCTCATTGCCGCTGACGTTATTCTCTATCCGGCCCTTTCCGCTGCTCATTGCCGCTGACCTAACGTCGTCGTTTTCATATGGCTTCTGGTCCAACCCAACTCTTCTCAGGATCTCCTTCTATCACTTCAGAGAAGCTTAATAGGAAAAATTATATGTCTTGGTCAGCTGCTGTGGAACTTTGGTTTCTGGGACAAGGGTACCATGACCATCTTGAAAAAGATGAAGGTGAGATCAAGGAAGAACCCGAAAAATGGAAAAATTAGATTACCAGTTGTGTGCTCTATTGTGGCAGTCCGTAGAACCCAATATTTTAGGGACTCTCAGAACCTTCAAAACTTGCAAGACCTTTTGGAAGAAAGTTCAAGAGATCTTTGCAAATGATATTCAACGCCTATATGATGCTGCTCACAAGCTGGCATCTCTTAAACAGATAGATCACGATATGATGTCCTTCATTGCCAAAGCGCAAGCTGCTGTTGAAGAACTAAAAATGTCCTTAGAAGCTAAATCTCTGGAGGAAACTAAGAAGAAACTGGACAAATTTTATATGGTAATGATCCTCCGAGCCATGAACTCAGATTTTGATCACGTTAGAGATCAAATCCTCACTGGATCTGAGGTACCGACCATGGACAGTTTAACAACACGTCTCCTTCGGATTCCTACTCCTAAAGGTGACAAGTCTCAAGAACCTGTAGAGTTTTCAGCTATGGTAGTTCATGGAAGAGGGGGTCGTGGAAACAGAGGAGGACGTGCAGGAAGAGGATGTCCTCAATGCACCCATTGCAAAAGAATGGGTCACACTCATGAGAACTGCTACTTTCTTCATGGATTTCCTAATAAAACTGCAAACTTCTCCAAATCTAAAGATTCTGAAGTTTCTGATCTGAAACTGTCTGGTGAGGAATACCAAGAGTATTTGAGATTAAGTCCAACAACTCAGCAGAATCTTCTAAAACCCAACATACGTCAACTGCTTGCGTTTCACAATCAGTGGAAAGTCAAAATCCATGGATAATTGACTCAGGTGCTTCTGACCACATTTCTGGTAATAATTCTCTATTCTCTTCTCTCTCACATCTTAAACACCCACATCTTATAACCATGGCAAATGGATCCAAAACTGCTTCCTAAGGAATCGGCCAAGTATCTCTCTCTCCAACCTTGAACTTAAAATCTGTTCTTTTTGTCCCCACATGTCCGTCTAACCTCATTTCATTAAGCCAATTAGCAAAATCATTGAACTGTACAGTAACCTTTGATGCTAATTCATTTGTTATACAGGAATGTGGAACGGGTCGGATGATTGGAGAAGGATATGAATCTAGAGGTCTCTATTATTTTGGAAGTAAATCATCAGTCTCTTGTCTAGCAACTCCTTCTCCCAAACTCTTTCATGAACGTTTCGGACATCCACACTTAGCAAAACTAAAGAAAATGGTTCTTGAACTCGGCGGTCTTCAAACCTTAGAGTGTGAGTCATGTCAACTCAGGAAACATGTTAGGTCTTCATGTCCTAGCTATTCTGAGTCTCGATGTGATTCTGCATTTTCTATTATCCATTCTGATGTTTGGGGACCAAGTCGGGTTTCCTCTTTTGGTTTTAAATATTTTGTCACGTTCATTCATGAATTTTCTAAGTGTACTTGGGTTTATCTAATGAAGGATCGTTCTGAACTTTTGTCTATCTTTTCCTGTTTTCTTAATTAAATTCGCAATCAATTTGGAACAATAATCAAAATTTTAAGGAGTGACAATGCCAAGGAATACTTCTCCACTGGTTTTTTCTCCCTCCTAAGTTCACATGGCATTTTACATCAATCCACTTGTCCTCATACACCTCAACAAAATGGTGTAGCTGAAAGGAAAAATAGACACTTGATTGAGACTGCCCGTACCTTATTACTTGGTGCAAATGTACCAGTTCATCATTGGGGAGATGTTGTCTTAACTGCTTGCTTTCTTATTAACAGAAAGCCATCCTCTTCTCTTAATAATAAAACCCCTCACTCTATCTTGTTTCCTAATGAACCCCTCTTTCATGTTTCCCCTCGTGTGTTTGGTTGTGTTTGTTTTGTCCATGATATGTCTCAAGGATTAGATAAACTCTCGGCTCGGGCTGTCAAATGTGTTTTCTTAGGTTATTCCTGTCTTCAAAAAGGGTATCGTTGTTACTCTCCTGAGAACAAGAGATATTATATGTCTGTCCATGTCACTTTCTTTGAACAAACTCCATTTTTTTTCACTTAGAGATCAATCTGTCCAGCAAGTTCTCCCTATACCATCTATTGAGCCCTTTGTTCCGTCTATTGCAAATGACTCTATTCCCAGCCAACCTCCTTTGGATTCAGTAGATGACTCAACCCCCAACCTCTTATTACCTACCAACGTAGGACCCGACAGACCAATCCAATTCTTCAAGGTGAGCACTCTTCATCAGATTCTTCTCAATCATCGCCCTCTGCCACAATTCCTGATAATGATAATTTGGCTTGGCCGGTTGCCCTCCGGAAAGGTACTCGCTCTACCCGTAATCCACATCCCATTTACAATTTCCTTAGCTATCATAGACTCGCTCCTTTTTATTGTAACTTTATATCCTCTGTCTCTTCAATCATAATTCCTAAAGATGTGAATGAAGCACTTGATCATCCTCGATGGCGACAAGCCACGATTGCATAAATGCAGGCCCTTGAACATAATGAAACACGGGTTTTAGTTCCTCTTCCACCAGGAAAGAAAGCAGTTGGATGTCGATGGGTCTATGCCATTAAAGTTGGTCCTAATAAAGAAGTGGATCGTCTCAAAGCCCGGTTAGTTGTCAAGGGATACACCCAGATCTATGGCCTTGATTACAGTGATACCTTTTCTCCATTGGCCAAAATGACTACTATTCGTCTCTTTTTTTGCTATGGCAGCCATTTGCCATTGGCCACTTTATTAGTTAGACATAAAAAATGCATTCCTACATGGTGATCTGGATGAGGAGGTTTACATGGAGCAACCTCCCGGGTTCGTTGCTCAGGGGGAGTCTGGTTTGGTGTGCAAGTTACACCGTTCTCTCTATGGTCTAAAGCAATCCCCACGAGCATGGTTTGGAAAATTTAGTTCTATTGTTCAAGCCTTTGGGCTGAAACGTAGTGAAGCAGATCATTCTGTTTTTTATTGCCACACCTCTCCTGGAAAATGTGTTTACTTGATAGTGTATGTGGATGACATTGTTATCACAGGAAATGATGCTGCAAGAATATCTCACTTGAAGAAACACTTGGGCGTCATTTCCAGACCAAGGATCTCGGGAGTCTCAAATATTTCTTGGACATTGAAGTGGCCCAGTCAAAAGAAGGTGTTGTAATCTCTCAAAGGAAATATGCCCTTGATATGCTCAGAGAAACAAGAATGATTGATTGTAAGCCTGTAGATAGTCCTATGGACCCGAACCAAAAGTTAATGCCAGAACAGGTAGAAGTGTTTTCTAATCCAGAGAGGTATAGACGGTTGGTTGGGAAGCTCATTTATCTCACTATCACTAGATCGGACCTATCGTTTGCAGTTGGTGTTGTTAGTCAATTTATGTAGGCGCCATACATTGAGCATTGGAATGCTGTCATTCGCATCCTAAGATACATAAAAAAGGCTCCAGGACAAGGTTTGCTATATGAAGACAAAGGGAATACTCAAATCCTTGGGTATTGTGATGCTGATTGGGCAGGATCTCCCTTGGATAGATGATCTACCACAGGATATCGTGTCTTTCTTGGAGGAAATATTATTTCTTGGAAAAGCAAGAAACAAAATGTAGTTGCCCTATCCTCCGTTGAAGCTGAATATAGGGCAATGGTGTCTCTCACTTGTGAGCTCATATGGGTAAAACAGTTTCTTCAAGAATTAAAGTTCTGTAAGGTTCAGCAAATGAAGATGTATTGTGACAACTGACAACCAAGCTGCCTTTCACATTGCCTCAAATCCGGTGTTCCATGAGAGAACTAAACACATAGAGATCGTTTGTCATTTTGTTCGAGAAAAGCTGATGTCTAAAGAAATCAGTACCGAATTTATTGGGTCCAATAGTCAACTTGCAGATGTGTTGACAAAATCTTTGAGAGGTCCTCGAATTGAATTTATTTGTTCCAAGCTTGGTACATACAATTTGTATGCTCCAGCTTGAGGGAGAGTGTTAGATTTATCTAGATACGTAGTATATTGGTAGCTAAATAGACTCATATGTATTATTCTAGAACTGACCTTTCATCTTATTTGACCTTTCATCTCCTTTCACTCATTAATGTACTTGTACACTCATTATTATAAATAATGGAGTTCAGGATTGTGGACAGATACACAACCAGAAAATTATTCTCTCCCTTGGAACTCTTTTTTATTCAAGTCTTCATTTATCAAGAATCCTAGATGGTTTGTATAGTCACTCACATTGGATCAAATATAAAGCGAGTTTAGATGAAACTTCAAGTTTTAATGCGATAGTAGTCTGTCAGACTCCGACAACAATTTTTTTAGGTAAGACTCAACAAACACATATATGTCAAGATTGGTATGCAGGAACGAGCACACCTCACATCAACCAAATAAAATTTATAAAATCACATAAAAGCCTCTTCATTGTCTTAATATGCATTACGAAATGGTATATATTGCAACCAAAGGGATACACAATGCAAATAAAACTCACCTGCAGATTTTCACGAGAAAATATATCACCAAGGGCTAGGTTTTGCTTTATAATGTTTGTTATGTTTTCCTTTTGAGTTTGAAGGAACTCATTGACGGCCTTTGGACTTGATAGAGTCGCCAACTGCTGTTCATTTAGCTTCATATTTGCCTAACACAATAAAACCCTAATTAAATTCCAAGTTTATACTAGTGCAAAAATAGGAAGCTGCTAACTGAGAATGAGACTGGAGGAGCAAACTTGTATTTCTAATAGTCGGGCTCCATACAGCTGCCTCCCTTGTTCCTCAAAGAGTGATTGTGGAATATCAACTTCGACCATCTAAAGAAAATAAACTCAACAATATATTTCATGAGGAGACTCATGTATTGTACTAGATGAACCATTTCAGTGATAGGGATAGACCTATTAGGATATTAAATAGAAGAGTTATATTTCTGTTTGAGTTAATAAATACATTCTGTTAGTTCGGATACTATAAATAGATGTAAAGTGGGAATAGTTGGGAGGCTATTTTGGACTATTGAGTCTTGACTGGGAAGATTGAGAATTATATCTCTCTTTGGGGGCTTCGGCCAGGGGCTTCGGCCATTGTTACTGCTCTTTTTCATCAATAAAGTTTACAGTTCTTGTTCTTGATATTTCTTTGATAGTTTTCTGTAAATCTTCTCAATACCTAGATAGGTCTATCATTCAGAAGCTCGTTATGCCCCACATGGTCCATGGCAGAGTATGGGTGCTTTATAGAGAATGACCACATAAAATATTTTACTCAGGTCATACCTATTTGGTGTGAAAAAGTTTGTTTAGTTCCACCAATGCGACTATTGCGAGAGAAATCAGTTTCTACTTGTTCGGAAAATATTACAAGCCTGTTTGGTAAAGGTGGTTTGGCTGAAATATGTGGCTGATAGGTGCACGAGTAAAAAGACTAAAGACACGAGTGTTATTCAATTTTATGATAAAGTGTACCAAAGGAGGGATGCATAAGTAAAATAACTAACTGAGAGAGTTAGTTAGATAGGCGGGTACATTTATGTTGGGGAGGGAAAGTGACTGTAAATAAATAGTAGCCGAGAAGTTGAGAGAGGTAGGTTGTTGGTTAGTTGAACTTGTCCTTGGAGAGCCCTGACATTCTCGAATTTGCCCAAATTGTTTCCCTCTAATCGTTTCTGAGAATATTGAATAAACCTTCTCTTTTCTTGAGTTTCTTGTAGTAAGATTTTCTGCAGATTACTTTTCTCTATCATTGGTATCAGAGAAGTCGATCGCTGTGAGTATCGTGAATGCCTGAGAAAATGGAAAATCGATTGGATGAGATTGAACGGAATTTCACCGAGATGCGAGAGAAATTTCGCAGGGTGACGGAAGCACAGTTGGCGAAGAGTCGTGATCATACCAGAGGGAGATCGCACACTTCAAATCACCGACGGAGACATGAATCGGAGAGTCCAACAGCTTCGGAAGGTAGATCCGACCACTCTATCTCGAGTTCGGGTCGCGATAACAGTAGGAGATCCGTTCGTACTGGACGAAAGGTTGACCTACCGTTGTTTAACGGAGATGGGGCTACAGCTGTATTGTACGAATGGAAAGGTATTTCCGACTGAATCAGACTGCCGAAGAAGACAAAGTGGAGGTTGCGGTTGTCGCAATGGAGGAATGTTAGAACTATCTAGGTATTGAGAGGATTTACAGAAAATTATCAAGAAATACCAAGAACAAGAACTGTAAACTTTATTGATGAAGAAGAGTTCTGGCCGAAGCCCCCAAAAGAAAGAGACGATTAATCTCTAACTTTCCCAATCCAGACTACAATAGTCAAAACAGCCTGCCTCCCCTTCCCAGATTAATTCTATTTATAGACTTCCCATACAGCTTACTCTAGTTATTATTTAATAACCGAAATATAACTACAACTAACTCTTCTATTTATTAGTCTAATAGGTAGATCTCTAACAAGGAACGAGCCCTAAATTCGTTCCAGTGGTGGGAACGCCAGACGATGGAGGATAACTAGGAAGCGTTGAAAGAATCTTTCATTCGCCGCTTCCAACCAGAGTTAGTTCAAAATCCATATGGTCCAATGCTGAGCTTGAAACAGAAAAGTACTCTAAAAGAGTACAGAGACCAGTTTGAAATGGTGATAGCGCCTCAGAAAAGAATTGATAAGGGGATACTGAGAGGAATCCTTATCAATGGCTTGAAGGAAGAAATCAGGGCGGATCTCAAGCTCTACAATTCCAGATTTCTATCTGAGATAATGGACAGAGCTTTACTAATTGAGGAAAGGAATAATGCTCTTCGAACTGGGAGAAATAAGGAAGGATGAAAGAAGAATTTGGAAGGAAAAAGGAGGTGACATTCCTAAGTTCTTGAAAGGTGGAGATACAAGTCGGTGGATGAACAGTAGTGCAGTACCAACTTATGTGGGAAGAACTGCTATTGATAATAAGCAGATTGAAAATTCAAGAAGTGAAAAGAATATAAGGCCTGGATTATCACAGGAAGTATTTTAGGAGAGAAGCAGGAAGGGGTTGTGCTTCAAGTATGGAGAAAAATGGAATAAAGAACACATATGTAGAATGAAAAACTACAAATATGTTCTTATGGAAGATTCTGAAGAAGATGAAGAATCTGAATCTGTCAGGATAGATACAGAAGAGTAAGAAGGAACTGGAATGGAATCCAAAACTATGCAGTTGTCCTTCATGAGCAAGGAAGGGATTCCAACAATGAAAACCTTTAAGGTGCAAGGAGTGCTGAAGTGGGAATCTGGAGAACAGAGAGTTGAGGTCCTTATTGATAGTGGTGTCACCCATAACTTCATTTCTCAAGTGCTGGTGGAAAATGGGAGTTACCCTATCAGACTATCAAAGGATATAATGTACAGATAGGTAGTGGAGATAAAATCACAAACAATGGCAGGTGTGAAGGGCTGAAATTGAGTTTACAAGGACTGGACATACAGCAAACCTTTTATATACTAGCCTTGGGAGGAACAGATATGGTGCTGGGCATGGAGTGGCTCACCAGTTTGGGGGATATGGAGATTAACTTCCAAACGCACACCATTAAATGGGAGGTTCAAGGGCAGAAGTTATCTATAAAAGGAGATCCTTCATTGAACCAGTTGGAAATCAATATGAAAGAGATGACTAGCCTGGTGAATCAAACTAGAGAAGCATATGTGTTGTACTATCATGGAATGTCCACTGGAGTTGAGGAGGAAAAGGGGGAAGATGAAATCTGGAAAGAGTTAAAAGAAGAATTTCCGGAAGTATTTCAGCCAATTAAAGAGTTACCTCCTGTCAGGGACTGTGACCATGCAATCAATATACAAGAGGGAGCCAGCATTCCAAATTTGAGACCTTACAGGTATCCTTACCATCAAAAGAATGAAATTGAAAAGGTAGTTCAAGAAATGCTTAAATCGGGAATAATTCAGCATAGCAACAGTCCATATAGCAGTCCTATATTACTGGTAAAGAAACAGGATGGTGGTTGGCATTTCTGTGGTGATTATAGGGCTCTAAATAAAATCACAACTCCTCATAAATTCCCGATTCTTGTGATTGAAGAACTGTTAGATGAGTTAGGTGGAGCTAAGTTGTTTTCCAAACTGGATTTGAAATCGGGGTATCACCAAATAAGAAAGAAAGCAACTGATGTGCATAAAACTGCCTTCCGTACACATGAGGGTAACTATGAATACATAGTGATGCCTTTTGGACTAACCAACGCTCCCTCTACTTTCCAAGCCTTAATGAATCAAGTGCTGAGACCATTCTTAAGGAAGTTTGCCTTGGTGTTTTTTGAAGATATACTCGTATATAGTAAATCACCAGAAGAACACAAGGATCATTTGTGAAAGGTGTTGCCAACTCTTAGGGAGAATCAACTACTGGCCAACAGAAAGAAGTGTTCATTTGGAAAGTCTCAGCTAGCATATCTAGGCCACATTATCTCGGAAAAAGGAGTGTCATCTGATCCGAGTAAAATAGAAGCAGTGATGAATTGGGCTGAACCTAAGGACCTCAATGGGTTGAGGGGTTTCTTAGGTTTAACCGGTTATTACAGGAGATTTGTTAGAGGATATAACAGGATTGTTGCTCCTCTAAAAAGGATTGGGGGCTCTTTTGATGCAGGAGGGCAGACCAATCGCTTTTATTAGTAAGGAGCTGTCTGTGAAAAAACAGAATAAATCAGTGTATGAAAAAGAGCTAATGGAAATTGTGTTGGCTATTCAGAAGTGGAGACCCTACTTATTAGGTAGGAAGTACATACAGATCAAAAAAGTATGAAGTTCCTCACAGAGCAGAAAATCATGGGAGAACAACAGAAGTGGATAACTAAGTTGTTGGGCTATAACTTTACCATTAAATATAAGTCAGAGATTGAAAATAAAGCGGCAGATGCTCTATCAAGGAAGCCCAGTTTGCAGTCTTTATCAATAGTAACCTGTCAAGAGTGGGAAGGTTTAGAGGAGGAGCTATTAAAAGATTCTAAATGTTATGATACTATTCAGAGACTACTTAGTCAACCTGAACAACTTCGAGTTGAAGAAAGGCCTGCTATATTTTAAGAAGAGGTTGATGTTGCCTAAAGATTCTCCAAGAATAATAAAGATACTCAAAGAATACCATGATTCAGCCACAGGGGGACACTCGAGATATTTCAGGACTATGAAAAGGATCTCAAACCTCTTCTATTGGGCTGGAATGAGGAATGTTGTGATATATGTCAAAGAAACAAATATCAGGCCTTAAAACCAGTTGGATTACTTCATCCACTACCTACTCTAGATCAAATATGACGTGATATCAGTATGAATTTCATTAGTGGACTACCTAAAGCACAAGGGAAAGACACTATACTTGTGGTTGTTGATAGGTTGACCAAATTTGCCCACTTTATAGCCTTATCTCACCCATACAATGCCAAAAGTGTAGCTGAATTATTCATAAAGGAGGTACTGTAGTTACATGGATTTCCAAAATCCATAGTAAGTGATAGGGATAACATATTCCTAAGTTTTTTTTTTTGTTAGAATTGTTCAAACTGGCTGGTACTCAGTTGAAATACAGTACAACCTATCACCCTCAAACGGAAGGACAGAGTGAGGTTGTAAATAGATGTTTGGAGACATACTTGAGGTGCTTAACTGGGAAGAAGCCTAAAGAATGGATAAAATGGCTACCTTGGGCAGAATTTTGGTACAATACAAACTATCATATCTCCTTAAAACAGACCCCTTACAGGGCATTGTATGGGCAAGGACCTCCAGCAGTCATCAAAGGAGATGTATCCTTAACTGCCAT